GTGAGATTAACAGTTGATATCTCTTCAGAACAGTGGAGGCCAGGGGCAGCAAGACAACATTCAAAGACAAAGAGTGTCAGCCATGATCCCTGTATCTGACAGAGCTGTCTTTTATTTTATTTTATTTTATTTTATTTTATTTTATTTTATTTTATTTTATTTTATTTTATTTTTTTAAGATTTTATTTATTTATTTGACAGAGACAGAGATAGCGAGAGCAGGAACACAAGCAGCAGGAGTGGGAGAGGGAGAGCAGGCTTCCTGCCGAGGAGGGAACCCGATGTGGGACTCGATCCCAGGACCCTGGGATCATGACCTGAGCCGAAGGCAGACGCTTAACCATCTGAGCCACCCAGGCGCCCCCAGAGCTGTCTTTTAAAAGTGAGGGTGAAATAAAGACATTCCCAGGTAAACTCAAACAGAGAGTTCACGGCTAGGATACCTGCCTTATAAGAAGTACTCACTGCTTTTATTCTTCATGCTGAAAGGAAGTGACAACAGATAGTAATTTGAATCTATGTGAAAAAACAAAGTGCTCCAGTAAAGGTAATTATGTAGGTAATGATAACAGACAACATAATTACCCATTTCTTTTTCTTTTTTCTCTTAGCTGATTTAAAACACAATTGCATAAAACAATATCTATAAAATTGTATTGTTGGGCCTATAACGTATAGAGTTGTGATATATTTGGCAATAAACCACAAATGACTGAAGTTGTATTGGAGAAGGGAAATGACACCAGATGGTAACTTGAATCTGCAAGAAGAAATGAAGAGAGACAGAAATGGTAAATAATAAGCTTAATTAAAAAAAACAACAACTCTATAAATATATTTGAGCTCTCCTTTCTTCTCTTTGCTTCTTTTTTTTTTTTTAAGATTTTATTTATTTATTTGACAGAGAGAGACACAGCAAGAGAGGGAACACAAGAAGGGGGAGTCGGAGAGTGAGAAGCAGACTCCCTCTGGAGCAGGGAGCCTGATGCGGAGCTCAACCCCAGGACCTTGGGACCATGACATGAGCTGAAGGCACACGCTTAACAAATGAGCCACCCAGGCGCCCCTTCTCTTTGCTTCTTAAGACATTTTTTTTTTTAGTTTTTTCTTTAAAGATTTAATTATTTATTTTTGAGAGAGAGAGCGCGGGAGGAGAAGAGGGAGAGAGAGAATCTCAAGCAGACTCCTTATTGAGCGTGGAGCCTGATGCAGGCTGGATTTCATGACCCTGAGATCATGACCTGAGCTGAAATCAAGAGTTAGATGCTTAAACCACCTGGGTCACCCAGGTGCCCCCAGAAGACATATGTTTTTAAAAAGCAATCATTATAACAAAGTTTTGTTGAGTTTGTAACATATATAGACATAATGTGGATAAGAATAACAAAATAAGGAGGAAGGGAAGAGAGCTATGTAAGAGTAAAGTTTCTGTATCTTACGGGAATTGAGTATAAAGATGAAATATATTTTGATAAGATGTATATTGTAAGACCTAGAGCAACCACTAAGAAAGTAGCTCAAAAACATAGTAAAGAATCATTAAAGGAATGGAATTAGTATACCAGGAAATATTCATTTAAGATTAAAGGAGATAGTAAATAAGGAAAGAGGAACAAAATAGGGGAACTGTGTAAGTACCATTATGTGGGCATCCTGTGATGTGGTCTTTCAAAACTCAGTAGTCCAACATGTTTCAGATTGAATAACTTTCCTTATTCAGACTCATTTTCTCCCTCAAAGTATTACTTTATTCATGGTGCTCCTTGTGTTTGAAAATTTTTAAGCAAATTAATAAGAATCCTGGAATGGATTTTTTTCTCATCTGATTCCTGTATTAAGTTTTCTGCTTCATCACACTCCCCTTAAGAATATTAGGTTGATCATAGAACACACTCACGGAGATTCACACAAAGGTACACATTGAGATACACGCTTTTTTGTACCACTAGCCATTTAACTACATACTCATATGGAATTTTTCTCTGATAGTACCAATATTGACATAAAGATGCATTTACTTATACATATGTTTTGGCACTAGGCATATCCAGAGGGATAAAAGTGACCATTACTTTTGGATTGTATTTAAGTTGAATACATCAAAACAACCATTTCATGGCTCCCTGAATAATCTCTTTTAAAAAGGAGTGTACATATGTGTGGGTGTGTATAGTAGAGGGCACATAGTAATAATGATTAATAGTGTTCATGATTGCACAAACAAAAAGCATTGTGCGTATTCATATACAACATATTTAGAAATGTATGTATTTATATTTATACAATTTTATATGTCCATAAATAATGTACAGCTTTAAATAATAATGTGTGTATGACACACACACACACATAAGAACACCACACTCCATGAATGAAGCATTATAGATATGATTTCAGTGCTTAGAAACATGGGTGTGCTCCTGGCATAGCCCTCTGACAATTTGGCAGAATGGTTAAGGATATAACCATAAGAATCAAACTGAAGTGTTTAACTCCCAGCTCTACCACTTGTTAGCTGCATGACCTGGTCTCTATAATAGCCAATACTGATATTTTCTTCCTTGCGGTGTTCTTGTAAGCATTCAATGTCTTGATGCATGTGAAGTTCTAGAAAGCACCAGGCAAGCAGGAAGTGCCCAATAAATTTTAACTATCATTTTTGATCTTCTTTGATTCTGATCTTGCAGAAGATAAAATAGTTTCTTTCACATCTGGAGCATGTGTTAAATTTAGATTATGTTTCCCATTTAAGAATACATCTTCATAATATATCTTTTATTGTGATAGTGTCTGCAACTGTTACACCTTTATTTGTGATCTTTTTAGAGTTTGCACATGGTAATGTACGGCTATTAGCATGTCTTGGGTATTACCCAGGTGATGGTTGCTTCTCAGGAATGAGCAGGTATATTTATATTGCTTTTCATGGACCTTTTGTGTGTTGTGTAAATAGGGTGGTGATATGATGATGACATAGACTATCCTGAGTACCTTCCATGTGGTTGGCCTGGTCTCTTCCCATTCTGATTTCTTTTATACATGAGGGCAGAAGATGTTTGTCTCTTTTGTTCACTGTTATATTCACAACACCTAAAAGAGTGCCTGGTACACAATATCAGAAATGAATGCATCATGGTATTTCATGATCTAAAACCATGCACTTACTTCCCAGTATCTATCCAAGTCCATTGATTTTATTGTAATCTCAAATAACTGTTATATAACTACTTCTCAAAATATGCTAGATGGCTTCTGTTAAATTGAATAGCTTTTTTTTTGTCTGAACATTCCCCTTCTTTTTTTCCTTTATGTGTATAGAGATGTTATTTTATCTACTGACAAATCTGATGCCATCACCTCTTTCATTACAAACTAAGAGCATGTCAAACTCTACCCCCACTTCTCTACTCACCTGCCACAGTCTCTCTCTCCTAAGTGCCCCTGGTCTTACTGACATATATTTCCTGGGTCATTTAACCATTTTTATATTCTAGTACAGTTACTTGCACATGCCATGTCTCCCTTCAGAGTAAGGACCTTTTCTCTTTCACTTTTAAACCCTCCATAGTCCATGTAGGTAGGTAGCAACTATTTGGTAACAGCAGATACTTAAGGAGGGCCTCCTTAGTGCCAGATACTGAGCCCAGTGGCAGGTTGGCTTCATAGGAATCTGAGTGATACTCTCTTCTCAGTGTTCTCTAAAAATATTTGCTAAATGAACAGTTGAACACATTCACATTTTGAGCAGCATGGTGTTGCAAACGGGCCCTGGATTTGTACTGGACATACTGGCTTAAAATCCAGGCTGTCTGACTTTGAGATGTTAACATCTGCCTCTAAGAGAGTTAACATAATGGAGTGGAGTAGGGGCGCTCCTAGCCGAAGCGCGTGGGCTAGAGCAGGCATCAAACAAAAGCAAGTTTCTTCCTTCCTCAGACAAGGGCTATTTGAATGAAAGTAGAATTACTGGTTCTCGGGGTGTCATTATCTTTTTGTGGTGGTGGTTCTAGCTCTGGTTCTGTAGATCCTCTTTGAATGAGTCAAGCAAACTCATACAGTGCCTGGGCACTAGGGCTGTTTTGGGACCAGGCTGGGCTGCTACTCTTTCCTCCTAGAAGCTCTGGCAAATGTCTGTTTGCTTTGGTGGTTATAAATTGCTGCTTTCCTCCTGTTCTTTTTTTTTTTTTTTTTTAAAGATTTTATTTATTTATTTGAGAGAGAATGAGAGAGAGAGAGAGAGCATGAGAGGGGGAGGGTCAGAGGGAGAAGCAGACTCCCCGCCAGCAGGGAGCCCGACGTGGGACTCGATGCCGGGGCTCCAGGATCGTGACCTGAGCCGAAGGCAGCTGCTTAACCGACTGAGCCACCCAGACGCCCTAAAAGAGAATTCTTTTTTTTTTTTTTAAGATTTATTTATTTGAGAGAGTGAGAATGAGAGAGAGAGAGAGTACATGATGGGGGGAGGGTCAGAGGGAGAAGCAGACTCCTCACTGAGCAGGGAGCCCGGTGCGGGACTCGATCCCGGGACTCCAGGATCATGACCTGAGCCGAAGGCAGTCGCCCAACCAACTGAGCCACCCAGGCACCCTCCTCTCGTCCTTGAAATACTTTCAGGAGTCTAAGTTTCGTTTAATGCATTTTTGTTTTGTCTATAGCACATGACATTAAATCACTACTATGTGTGGGGAGCATTTTCACGTTTGTAAAACATCTTCCCATCTCTTATTTCATTTGGTACACTTGATAAGTCTGTGAGCATGGGAGGGCAGGGACCTGTGCCACTGTATGCCTTTTAAAGGCAAATAAGGAAATAGAACCTCAGAGGTTAAGTGGTCTTCCTAAGGTCATAGAGCTTAAAAGTGGTGACACTGGAGGTCTATCCAACATCAGTCACCTGGCTACAAATTTCGCGCCCTCTCTACCCTACTGTCCTTACCCTGGAAGCAAAGGGACACTCTGATATCCTTCATCCTGACAATCCCTTCTGTTCTTCTTTGCAGAGGCATCCATCTTGAGCTACGATGGCAGCATGTACATGAAGATCATCATGCCCATGGTCATGCACACTGAGGCAGAGGATGTGTCCTTCCGCTTCATGTCCCAGCGAGCTTATGGACTGCTGGTGGCTACTACATCTAGGGACTCTGCGGACACCCTGCGCTTGGAGCTGGATGGGGGGCGTGTCAAGCTCATGGTTAACTTAGGTATCGTATGAAGTACCCTCTGCCACTTTGTTTGGGCTTGTCTTCCCTTTCTTTTCTGATTTTCATTGGTTTGATTGAATTCTTTGTTTGTTTCTTAAAAGTTAGCTGCTCACCTCTTGTTTAATAGACCAAGGATAAAACCCAACAGCAACAAACACCTTCTCCTTGTTTCTGCATGAGGTTTTGATGTCAATTTCTGGTTTCTGACAGTGGTGGTTTTTTTTGTTTTTGTTTTTGTTTTTGTTTTTCCTAGATTGTTTATTTTTTAAGTTTCCTTTCTTGGTTTTTTGGAACCGTTTAGCTTTGTGTAAAACACGCTACTTTGGTCCATCTTTTGATCAGTCACATTGCCATCAAGTCCAACTGCTTGGTCACCACTCAAAACAGTCAAAGCTGAGGGCAGAGATAAGACAGCAAATGGAGGCAAAATGGGAGGCTGGGGTTGGAAAGAACTAAGCTTTGTGAGCAGGATGAGAACTGCATTGTTTATTTCCCCACAAATGGGGAATTCTGGTGGCACTGGTATTTCTTTGTACTTTCTCCTAGTGGGAGGACAAGTCAGATTGTTTCTGTTGTCCCATTGGAGAAATAATTTTGTAAGTTTATAGAGTCTCTGACACGTGGAAGGAGAATGTGGCCCCTGATATGTATCCCGTTCTTCCTTCCTGACATTCTTCCCCATCGTCTAGCAGCCCCTTTTATCAAGATTGTCGTTTCACACTGTTACTCACCAATTCCTCTGTCCTCCTCATGTAGTATATATGAATTTTTCCTTAGTATTGAAAAATTACAACAATTTCAAATTTACAGTTTTATTGGAAGAGGATCTGTTCTTCCACTGTAATTATCTGTAATAGATACTTTGTAAACTCCCCTCATGATGGCCTCACATTTGCTCCTGCTACTGACCTTCTTGACTGGATTCTAATTGATCTTCTGTGGAGGATGGGAACCTCTTGATTCCTGGAAGGAAAGAAACCAACCTCATTTCTACTCAGTAGAAAGTCAGTGCCCTCTGTCAACAGGATGAGTGGTATGGCTGAGTCCAAGCTTTCTAAGCCATGGATTTGTTTGGGTATATAGCATATGTTTGGATACAGAACTCCTTTACAAAGATTCCAGTGGAATGGCTTGTCAGAGGCATGGGGAAGACATGATGGACAAACGTACCAGATACAAGACCATATAAAACCTTAGATGGCCTAGTGGGGAGGTGGAGTTTGGAATCCATACCAGTCTTACCTAATGTCAGGTTGACTGGTTGCACTTGGAAAATGCCTACACTACGATTCTAAAAATCTCTAGGACACAGAGGACTGTTTTGAGCAGTGGCTTTACTTATGCCTTTTTTTTTCTTCCAAATTGCAACTTTTACAACACTATGCCCTTGTTCTTGTCCAACCTCACTTGATTTCTGTTGTCAGTGTGTCTGTTGGTTTTTCTTTGGTTTGTGTATATGTGTGTTTGGTTTTTTTGGGTTTTGTATTTCTTTTTGCTGGATCTCTGTGTTCTTGAGTTTTCAGTCCTCCCCGCCATCAGCCATGGCAAATCAAAAGATGGTATTCAACCCTTCAAAGGCCCAAAGCCTGCGGCCCGCATAGCAAACAGCCTTGAGAACAGAGCGTACTGAGCAGCCTGCAGGGGCTGGCATACCCCTGTCCCTCCCACCTTCCCTTCCCTACACCATCCTCCCCACCTCCAACAAACCAACAAAAGAGTGTATATGATCTAAAACCAACAACCAGTAGCTGATTGTTTACTTCCCTGAAAAATAGCGGAAGAAATAAAAAGAATTAAAAAAACCCAAATAAACAAAAAAATGAACATAACATCCTAAATAGTTCACAGAAAAAGATGTAGACAATTTTTAACTCTGAATCTATTTCAAAGTAAGAGAGAAGCACATATATAAGGATGATTAGCACCATGGGATCCTGGGGAAATGTATACTGTCCCTAAACAGAAAATAGATTTTCCTTCTTAGATATTGTTTTATAAAATGAGAAAGCCAATTGTGGTAGGTCTCATATCTTAGAAGAAGATACAAGTGGGGGAAGATAAAAGGGGATGAGGAAGGAGATGGACAGATTCTCTTTTACACACATGCGCGTGTACGAGCACACGCGGTTAGTAAAGTTCCCATGTGTATTCCTAGAAACATTATTTTTCTATTTTAAACTTTGCCCCAAATCTGGGAGAAGTGCCCCTCAAAAAGACTGCATTTGCGTCTTGATTCCTTCTAGCATACACTCAGTCTAGCTCCTCCGAAATTGAGATATCTTAGGTAAGATGGAGTTGGAGAGCACTGTACTTTTCAGAAGCAATAATGACTTCTTTTTTCCCTGAAGAGTATGGTTCACCAGAATGACTGGTTTGAATTTATTTACCTTTCTTTCAGACCTAACATGGAAAACCGGACTGAAATTCCCTGTGCCTATGTATACAAAACTCTTTACGTTCATGCTTTATTTAAAGGTTCTCTTTTCCTTTCCTCCCCAAAATATACCCCTTTGTGAATGTTTTCTCCTATTATGAGTTCATATTTCCCTTTACTTAGTTAAAGAAGAAAACATGTCTAAGTAGGGTTTGCATTCATACTCTCTGCAAGAACTAACTTCCAATGATCATTTTGTTCACCATTTCAGTTGTGTCTCCTTTCTAGACTATGCACAAATGATATTACAGTTTATTTCAAATTGGTTACGTATATAAGCTCATGATGTAAAGCCTAGTATATATTTTTCTGATGTAATATATCCATCTCCTAAATGTCAAGGAGACTAGGCTTTCCTAAGGGCCTTGCTCTCTGAAGACAGCTGGGTGTGGTAAGAGCAGGCGTGAAAAGCGTCCTAAAACACACAGCCTGTTTTTGAAAGTTGAGAGATTGGCTATTGATCAATCATATTTTGATCCCTTACAATTAAAACATATAATATTTTGTTATTATAGTATATTTAAATATTCAAAAACCTTATTTCAGTCAGCCAGTAATTTTGTGAGATAAACCAAGGAAGTGTTTTTATGCTTACTTTTACAGATGTGAGACAAATAAAGAAATGTGGACTTTTCAGAGCTAACATAAAAAGTCGATAGTGGAGCTGAGACTAGAACCCGGGTTTCTAAAATGCTGGGTCAGCGTGGGTTATCTGTTATCTCCACAGGTCAGTACTGTGGCAGTCTTGATGACTTCTAACTGCTTTCATGATGGTTAACTTTTAAACATGCACAGAAGGAGTCTTTTTTCCCTAGTGCCTGGTTTGAATTGAGCCATACAGCTGAAAAGTCAGTCAGTATTGGTATCTCATTCATGGCCCTTCTGAATCCTCAGCAGAACACCAGCAAGCCTTCTTCAATGGTGGAGGCTCATAGGGAGTGTCATGCAGTTTGGTTAGTTGTATTCAAATTCTCCAGATGCGCTCTCTCTCTCTGGCAACATGGGCTTGCTGACAACTGTTTACAGTATGCATTGGTGAAAACATACAATTCCTAGAAACATTCACCTCTTCCATGCTCTCAACCCAAAGCTTATTAATCTAGAAAATAATAATTTCTCATTTACTAAAATAAAACAAAAAAACATCTAAATGAAACAGGATGAACAACACAGACATACACAGACACACATACACCCCTCAGATACCTTGCCAAGGGTAAGGCAGAGATTGAACTTTGGCTGCTATTCAAGATAGATCTAAGGAAGTTGCTTTTCCAGCCCAATTCCCTGGATTCACTTTTCATTAAAAAATACATCCTCACTATCAAGACTACCCTCTCAGAGTCTATGAGCAAGGCACTGGGATAGATTTTTTTTCTTGAACCACTTATTCTTCAGGTAAAATATCAAAATAATTCATCACTTCTTGGCTTAGCCAGTTGTCTACCACCTGGAAAGCTCCAAGTCCTCACATTGGTTTAGAGACACCATTCAGTTCATGGAACCATTTGAGTGAACCCAGCACCTCTCTCTAGACCAGGTCCTTGTCTAAGAATAAAATCCTCAGGGTGCCAGGGTGGCTCAGTCCATTAAGCATCTACCTTCAGCTCAGGTCATGATCCCAGGGTCCTGAGATCAAGCCCAGCGTTGGGCTTCCTGCTCAGCGGGCAGCCTGCTTCTCCTTCTCCCTCTGCTCCTCTCCCACCCTTGTGCTCTCCCTCAAATAAATAAATAAATAAAATCTTTAAAAAATAAAAATAAAATCCTCAACAGCATAGAAACGAAGGAAGACAATGCCTTCTTGTTGACAGTTCTCAGGTTTGTTGCTTTAGGCCCACTCTTTCTCGTCCCTTCTCTCTTAAGCAGGCCCATACAACTGTTTCCCCTCTCTCCTGAATACATCAGGAAGGGGCATTTCTCCAGCTTTGGCTGATGGCAGGTGCAACCCGTAGCTGAAGCCCCACCCCTTCCTCCCTACTTTGCCCTTCCCCTTCCCAGTCCTCACCAGGGGAATGGCCTCCTCTGTTTGGTGATCGTACCAGTTGCTCCAGGGCTGTTTGCTCCCACTTTTCTGTTGCGGTTGACGACACATGACAAACCTAACCGCACGAAACCAAACCCAGATTTTTCTCAAGAGATGTTCTTCTGGGGAACAAATAAGCGTACCGCCTCCTTCCTCAGAATGATTGGGTGTTCTAGATTTCTCCTATCTGGATTTCCATAGTTTCATTCTGCCCTGTCCTTTGCCACTGGTTCCTCTTTCACTTGCTTACTTAAAATGGTTTACTTTGGGAAATTCAAATGGTGGCATTATCCTTTAGGAGTCCTCCAAAACTACTGGGTTAGTCTTAGGCAGAGGAGCTCAGTTTCTAACTGTATTTTTTTCCTGTAACTTTTTTTCTTCTTCTTGTCTTACTTTTACTTTTTAGTATCCAGCTTTAAACAAATTCTTATGGGAATTCCCACCATGATAAGTCAAATTTAGGTTCAACTGGGCAACTTTGTCACAACTAATCTGAGACCTTTTTTAACTGTTCTATCCAATCCCCTACAAATATAATCATTG